CCCTATAGCGCTCCAAACCCCCCCAAAACGTTCCAAGCCCCCCCCCCCAGACTATTTCAAAGCCCCCTAGATTATTTCAATGTCCACTTAGATGCTTATAACCCCTGCAGATGCTTCCCAACCCCCCTTTAGATGCTTCCAAATTCCTCCAGATGCTCCCAAACCCCCAACGGGACACAGGGAAAGGGAGACGGGGACCCCAAGCGCCCCCCCAGGGGTCTTCACCACTCACGTGATGGGGAAGTTGACGATGGTGGGGTTCTTCTCCACGAAGAAGTTGTTCTTGGTGAAGCGCTTGATGCAGAAGATGAGGTAGGGAGGCAGCTTGGTGAGCTGGAAGCGCTTGAGAAAGTTCTCCTTGTAGGTCTTGTACTCCTTCTCGGTGGCGCCGTTGAATTTGGCCAAGATGCTGAAGAGGGGGACCTGGGGGATGATGAGCTGCTCCTTCTCGTCCTTGTAGAGCGGGGCGGTGGGAAGGTCCAACGTCAGGTACATGAAGGTGGATTCCACCATCATCTCCTGGTACTCGCTGTTCTGCAGGAGCTGCGCCTTCTCCTCGGCCGGCTGCGGGACACGGGGCTCAGAGCGGGGCTTGCAGACACCCGTGGGGGTGAGAAACCCCCCTCTGCCCCTCCGCGTACTCACCAGATCCGGGTGGGGCAGTTTTTTGGTGAAGATGCGCATGGAACCCTGGAAGACGTCGGTGACGATGGCTGTGGGGACAGAAAGACATGGGTGGGGGCCCAGGGGTGACGAGCACCACCCGAGGGGGTGTCCCAAGGGAATAAGGGCCCTCCATCGTCCTCTGCTCACTCTTCTTCTTCTTCTTCGTGCCGCCCAGGGCCGAGTGCAGCGCGTTCAGGAACCAGGAGAGGAAATCCACCCCGTCCCCTACAAACCGGAGGGTAAATCAGAACCTGGGGGCCGGACCCAGTGCCCCCCGGCCACTCCATCCTGCTCCTCACCTTGCTTGGTGATCTGGAAGTTCTTCTTGCTGCAGAGGACCACGGCCTGCAGCATCTCGTGGGGCGAGACGTGCGCTTTGAAGTTCCGGGGGTTCCACAGCTTCCGCATCAGCTCCCCGAAGCGCTGCACCAGCAGGAACATGATGTCCCCGGGCGGGCGCTGGATGCTCTTGTAGTTCTCCTCCTCCAAAAAATAATTCCTCAATGGCGGCACGTTGGATAAAGCCTGCGGGAAAGGAGCCGGGAAGCATCTCCGCCAGCCCCAAGGGGGCGGTTTGGGGGGTTTTCACCCCAAAAATGAGGCCTGGAGCCCCCCACCCCGGTGATACCTGAAGGATAGCGTTGGCATAGTCGTTGGCTTTGATGTTGTTGAGCCCCACGATGCCGGGCAGGTACGTGGTGCCGTCGTAGGCACGGGAGAGCTTGGCCTGCTTGTCCAGGTTGGTGATCTGCTGCGCGGTGAAGGTGGGCTTCAGCACGTACTGCAGGCGAGAAACGGCGTTGGAAAAGGCGGGGGGGACACGAAGCTGCGCCCCCTCCCCGGGGCAGCTCAGCCCCACGCCGCACCGTGATGTCCTCCAGCGAGGAGTCGATGATCTCATAGTTGTCTGGGAGGCAGTAAAACTTGAGGGTGTGGAGGTTGAGGAAGACGTGGTGGCTGAACTGGACGCTGTGGATGTAGGCGTGAGACTTCAGCCCGCGGCCTGTGGGGGAGAGGTGTAAAACTTGAGGGTGTGGAGGTTGAGGAAGACGTGGTGGCTGAACTGGACGCTGTGGATGTAGGCGTGAGACTTCAGCCCGCGGCCTGTGGGGGAGAGGTGGGGTCACGGCGGGGAGGAGGGGG